GAGCCAAGGTGAAGCCTGAGTATTAAGCCCTACCTTCAGAAGACACAGGGACAATTCTCTCTCCCACCCCTCCTCCAACTCTGAAGCCAAGCAAGGCATCCTTTTAGCAAGAGACGCTTCTGTGAGTAACTAGGGATCAGGTGATGGGGAAGTTGCTAACTTGATTTGTGACAGACTTTACTAATCTCATCCCAGGGGGATGGGTCAAGAGATCATCTTACAAACATGAGAACAAACTTTAGGACCCAGAACACCTGTACTTCCTGATTCTAAACTGGTTTGGGCTGTTTCCTTATCTACAGTCTGACTTTTGGGGGAAAAAAAACAACAACACAAGTTTGGCCCACAATCATCAACACCTCCTGCAAATTTGGGAGTCAGCAGGGATCCAAGATCAATGAGGCCAGGACACAAGTGAATGTCATGTGCTCTTTATTATTATTAATTATCTTTTTGTACAGAAAGAGACAAAATTTAACAGCTAAACTCAACAATTATAAAAGAGAAAGAGAGACAGAAAGAGACACAGAGAGAGAATCAGAAGCAAGTGTGTTTGTTGCTCCCAGGCTTCAGTGAAATCCTGACATACTACTGAATATACAGATTTACCAGCTGACATGAATCAACACGTGAATACAAGCACAGTTTAACATGGTACCAAAATTAATCCATTTCACAGTAATCATGTCTATAAGCTCAGTTGCACATATCAGGGTTTCCACTGTCACAAACTCACAATCACAGAGTGAAATAGCAGGTGTGTTCAGGCCTGGGAAAGTGGCATCCAGAAGGGGAGACAGATTGGGAGGCAAAAGCAGCTGTGGGATTTGTTCCAATCTTGAATATCTGTGTTAATGCTTAGGCTTGGGGTGAGAGAAGGGCAGGCGCTATTCAACAGTCAGATGTCTCAGTACAGTGCAACAACTGTTGAGGCAACGAGCCCGAGGGGGTGTGCTATTTGGATATCTTTGTCAGAGAAATTCCTGGTAGAGAGACTCACCGCCCACAGCCTGTGAAAGGAAAAGCTCCCTATGTTTAATATTTGGGGGCGAACGATGGGAGTGGCCAGTCTGTTAGCAAAACATCTGCTTTACAGAATATTTAGCAAGATACACAGTTATGCTACTTTACATCGCAAGCTAGTTCACAAACTATGTTATTCATAATGTAAATAAAGGAGGAGAATGAAAAGCTGCAGCACCCAACGTTCCCACAACGGAGAGAGACCAAGAGATCATCCTATGCGGAAAGAGCCTCACACACAAGAATCACTGAATTCCAAAGCTGAAGGCACAGTGAAGGGATCCCTGATAATTTGAGCCTTTTATTTGAAAAATGTGCTCACTTTAGCTAGATCCCTCTTACACATATGACCCTGAAAATTGACTAAAGGGAAGAATATTTCAAATCTTTTCACAGAGCAAGAATCACAGATACCATGAATTATCTTAAGTTGTGATTTTTCTATAAGTTCTGAATTAGTGGGCTTCAAATTAATAGGCTTTTAGCATAGTTGCAGGCAGTCTGATTACAGTACTTTGAAATTAGCTAATTATACTGATTAGTATGAACAAAGTTCAGTGGGGAGAATGTGCTTGTTTCTGAATCACCCACAATCCTGAAATTGAGCTTCATTACTTGTCAAGCTGAAAAGCTTTAATGCCCAGCTCTCCATCTTAGCCTTGAACATGAGCATGAGAGCACACGCAAGACATAGTACACAGGCACACTCCTCAAAACACAGAGCATAGGTAAAGAAGAGAGTCTGTCTGTCTGTCTATCTGTCTGTCTCTCTCTCTCTCCCTTCCCCCCAGACAAAAGAACAATCTAGAGGCAGTGTTGTTTTTTCCTTCTTCTCATGGGATGCCATTTTGTTGTCAAAAGATCAACCCTCAGCCAGAGAGGAACCATCTGGCTCCAACTCCTTAACAAAAAGACACTTTCCTGTCCTGAATACCTCATATTCAGGCTGCCAGAAAGGCAACATCCAACCCATTGGGCAGATTCCTGTTTTCCCAAGCACCCTAAGGAATTCACACTAATGGCAGTGGGATTCACCAGCACAAAAGGAGGTCACTGGCCTCCAGGTCAGCCTGCTGGGTATTACTGGGCACCTGTTGTGCCTCACTCTTTCCCTTGTGCTTTCATTTTGAAAACCCCAGGTGATGGGGAGCAGCGCTGGAAGGACAGATTTGTGATTCTTGTTTTAAAAAGTCTTAAAAAGTTTTTGGTTGAAAACAAGCGACAGTCATATTTCAAGGAATTTTTTAAAGCCTTTTCTCTTTTTTTCTTAATGAAAAACATCTAAATAACTAGTCCCATCATTCTGAAAGTCAAGAGGCACACATTTTTCCACCAAAAAATGAAATTAAAAAAGAAAATGGTCCAGGAGTGCTCGGATCTTCTTCAGCGGCTGATACAAACAGAACAGGAACCGAAGCAGAGAACGCTGTGCCAAAAGGGCATGTGAGAGGGGGTCCCACAGGGCAGAGGCCCACAGGATGGAGCTGCTTAGTCTTCTCACAAAACTTTTCATGAAGTGAGGGCAGAGGTGGTGACTTTTCAGGGCCTGAACAGCTAATACCAGCTCTCCTTCCTCATGGCCCTGTCAAATGGCTGTCCAGCCCCAGGAGGTGACATTCTTCCCTTCAGACCGGAACCCTCCTGGTACAAATATAGCCATACACCGGCTATTGTTTCAGAAGCATATGAGAAAAGGCGACATGCACACATATACAGGCGCGCGCGCACACACACACACACACACACAAGTCCAAAAACAACAAAAATGTGGCTACTACAGATTTAGCACTGTATCAAACCAACATCCATACAAAGACAGAGTTTGAAAATATATATACAGCCAAATGTGCACCGCGAGGAGTTATGACCATTGTATACTGTATAGTCTTTTTTCTACAATATACTGCAAAAACAAAACAAAACAAAACCCAAAAAACTCCCCACAAAAACGTCCCAGAGACCACGGTGGCAAGCCCACCTGGAAGAATACTGCCAAGCACCTGAACAGAGCACAGGGCCCTAGGAGCTGCCTGTGAGATCTCCCTATAGGCCCTCGCTCAGTGCCTGAAGGACATAACATGTGCTGTCCTTCACCAGATCAGGTTCCTGCTTCCTGCTCCCTCCCATCTCCACCCAGCTTGGCAGGGAAGGGCTCAACAGATGCCAAAGGCGGCAGGCATTCCTTGGCATACTCCCTTTGGCTCTGGTCAGTGGGGCCAACGCTTGGCTCTCTTCTCAATGTGGAGAAGATATATAGGGGTGAGTGTCTTCTCTCATGCTCCGAGGCACCTGACGAAATGCTGGGAAAGCTGGGCTGGCCCCAGAGCTTTAGGCTGCCCCAGGTCCTCCAACATGACCAAACAGGACTAATCGCAGCCTCCATTGTGGTAAAGCAGGGCCTTTCTAGGCCGGAAATACATTTGTGAGGAAGGGTAGAGTGCAGTGTTAGAGGACCAGAGGGAGGAAAAGGGGAAGAAAGGAAAGGTGGAATGCTACCTGGTCAGCACCTCTGGCATCAGGGAACTCTCGGAGAAGGACGAAGGGACAGAAAGGGCAAGACCAACTGTCCAGGTTGAGACTCAACATCACATTCACATGAAGGCCTCTAATAAGACTGGTCCCCTATAAGCTACACATTTCTAGAACAATCTGCCTAAGGGAAAACTGCACTGGCTCCCTGATACTTCAAGAACTGCAAGGGCTTTAGCTCAGTCAGACTCAAATAGACCTGGGAAGTAGGGGGAAGGATGGAAAACCCCAGCCACCGAGTCAAGTTGTCCAAGCTGGTGGGCTCATGGGATAAGAACACAAGCCTCTCTACTTGAAGCATGTCCCTGGGCAAGTCCTCGGGACTGGAGGGGCCTCCAGAAGTCATCTGTGGCATCAAAGCAAGGCTGCATTCAAGGAATGAGGCCTGATGTCTACCTTAGAGAGCTGTTTTGACAGAAAGAAGCTTGTCTTTTCAGTGGGTTTTAAACTACTGTGGTTGCCAATAGACCCTGGCTATGCACTCTTTGGGGCCCCACAAAAATTTGCTACATTTTTTAAAGCACCACAGAGGAAAAATGATTTGGCACTGAGGCCAGGAGATGGACATGAAAGGGTAGGGGGAGGCTGTGTCGAGAGTCTTTTGCATGGTCACAGACAGTTAAAGGGTGGGTTACTTCTGCCCTTCTACTGTCCGAAGCCTCACTGAAAAGCAGAAGTGGACAGCCCCTGGGCCACAGAAAGGGGTTATTAAAAATGGACCGGCACCTGGCAACACTCTGGATGGGCCTTTGACCCCAGGTCACAGGATTCCCCATCTTCCTTGCCAAGAAATTTCTGAAAAGGGACACTTCAGGATCTTTTCCCCAGGTGGGCGCCATTATTAAGGAGAAATCAGTCATCTGAAGTTCAAGTTCAACTCATTGCACCTACTCTCAAAAAGTGAAGAACCCTAAAAGTTCAAAGCAAGACAGCACGGTGCTGAGGAGGCTAAGTTCATGGGTTCAATCATCCCATGCACCAACCAACCTCATTAGCAGAAAACTTCAGCTCTCTTCCCCAGCCTGTACCCCCAACCACTCAGAGGCCATGGGCTTCCCAGGCAGGGTCACCAGCATTAGTTTTCCCAGAGCTATGATGGGGCTCATGCCAGTGGGTAGCAGTTTCAGCACAGCCAATACACATCTGAAAAGCCAAGGTGTTCAGGAGGCCAAGCGCACTAGAAGAAGAACTAGCCCTCCAGGATGGCAAAGTTCATGTGGGCCTCTTGTTCAGTCTCACAGCCAGGCCCCTGCGTCTCATCCTTCACATACCCTGCCCTCCTTCCAGCTTGCTCTAGATATTCCTTTTAATCTGGTCAGGGGAGTAGGGGCGGGTGTTGGGGTAGGGGAGTATCACAGAGCTGATTTCCCTCAGTCCCCTATAAATGGCACAAGTTATATTGTTTTGTTTTATTGTGTTGTTCATTTATTTATTTGTTATTACTCTTTTTGTTTTTTCCTCAGTCCTTGTCCCTGTCCTCAAAATGTAAGCAGGACAGAAAGCACAGGACTCTTGAGGAAATGGGGTTGCTGAAGAGCTAGCTTCTCTCCCTCATCTCTGTGGCCCAGGTTTCCAATCACAGATAGGTCTCCAGCCGGCTGCACAGTCCCAAGGCCTGAGCCTATGAACATTCTGGCCACAATCAACTCATTCGGGTAATACCTTTGGCATAAGAGAAGCCAGTTCCTGATGAGAGGACAGGATGGCAGGAGCATGGGGGCTTCTGGATGAGCTGGGCTCTCTGGCCTGTAGCTCTCCCCAGGGGCTTTGACACATGTGTGTTCCCTACCCCCCTCCACCTGTCTCTGACAACTGACTTCCTACAAATCCACGGTTAGGAAATTATTTGGCAACAAGGAGGCTAAGGCTGTTTTGTGGTGGCACAGTCTTTGAAAAGTTAAAAAGAAAATATGAGACCCCTGAAAGAGGCTTTCACACCGGACAGGACATGAGTCCTACTACTTGTCCGAGCCAGGATTGGTGGCCACTATCTCCTCATACTTTGGGGGTGGGTCACTGTAAGAGACACTCGCCTCCTCACTGCTGCTCTCCTGGGGTGCAGTCACCTCCTCGTAGGACGGGGGAGGGGTGGCACTGGACAACCTGGAGAGAGAGAGCTCAGGGAGGTAGAGGGTGCTCTCGAGGCGGACCGTGGCTCTGCCCCCTCGACTGGGCCCCAGCACCACCTGTGGATTGCTCCCTACCTCCCGGTGTGCAGAGGACTCCCCCTGGCTGTGCACAGTGCCCCGATACACCATGACCCGGGGGAGGCTGTGCCCAGCGCGACTGGCTAGGTACCGGTTCTGAGCATACGAGGGGTGATGTCGGGTGGCTTTCTGCAGCTGGCACCTCCAGATGATGAACAAGGCAATGACAATCAGCAATGCCACCCCCAGAAGGGGAACCACAACATACATGGCATCTGGGCTTTGTGCAGGGTCTCGAACTGAGTAGACTGCATTCGGGTACCCCTTCCAGAACTCCATCTACAAAAGAAAAATGGCCACTTACATTTACACGCAAGAGCTCATGCCCCAGCTGAACCTCAGAGACTTTCAACAAGTCTGGTATGTTTGGCAGGGCCTGCGGCTGCTCCCCACCCTTCCCCATCTGACTGGCTTCTGAGACCTATCAGAGAGGCAATGGAATGCACCCGGGACAAAGGACAATGCTCCCAAGTGAGGAGGTCCCCACAGTGGGGCAGCTGAGACTCTAAAGACATGTTGTCTGTCCTTCTATGACCCCCGTGGCCATGCCTTAGACTGGGCTGGCTTTTCTTCATTGCTTCTGACTGGCCTGAGATACCAGGGCCTGCTCTTCTTATTCCTGAGGCTCCCTCTGCTCCCAGAAGGTAGCCCCAGGACAGTACATGCCGTTTTCTCTTTGTCCTCAAACACCTCCTTGACCTCCTCGTAGCTGCAGACCTCCTCCATGCACTCTCGCTCGATGGTACCCTGGCGCAGCTCCTCCAGGAATTCATTGGCACGAGGGAACCGTTTCAGGACCGAATGGGCATTCTTGGCCTCCAGAAACACTGAAGAGAGAGCTGCACTGAAGCCTGGAATAGGGAGGTGCCCAAGGGCTCCTTCAAACCAGACTCAGCACAGACACAGAAGCACAATGACAAAGGGTCGCAAGACACAGCCAGCAGGCAAGACACCGCCGCAGATACGATTAGCCCTTTGTAAAAGGGACAGAAGTGCTGACTTTCTGTGATGCCATGATGTACCTTCTTAGAATACCATGAACCCAACAAGACTCAGGCCTCTGGTGTTATGGGGGAAATGGGATATGAGAGGGAGGTGCATGGTGCACAGGAACAATGGACATGAAAGATTTTGAGTATTGTAGTCAACACTGAAAAAGTACCTATTATTTTTTGCCTCATCTCAAAAAGAGAACATAAGAGCCCTTATCATAAGAATTGGTTCCCCTACAGACTGATGCTGGTAACCAATACCAAATCACTCCATAACATTCTACCAGGGTGGCACTACTCTGCCTGAATGGCCACCTATGTTGTAGTCAATAGCCTAGCTCCAAACAGTCTACTTACCACAAACCCAATCTAGGCTAGATTGGAGCACTGGATGCATACGAATCTGAGAGTACCTCTGAGAAGAGGGTAGCAGGGAGAATGTAAGCCTTTGTACACTGGGCACAGATGCTTCCTGCAAAAGTGTCATTGGGTGCTAGCCATATCTACTTATTCCAAAAGGAGAGACCCAGCTAGAGTTGAGCTAAGCCTGAACTAGGTCTCCTGTCAACCAGCCCCTTGCAGCGAGGCAGGCAGGGCTTTACCGGCAAGCAGGTACCCTTCCCCACGGCCTGTCGTATTAGTTTCTCTCACAGTGGCCTGGGCAGGTGCACATCAACAAGTGAGCACCTACTGCAGAAGGGAACCAGAGTTGAGAGGGTAAAGCTGCTACCCAGCCGATGAGACAGGGGCCACAGGGACACACTTGGGACAGGAAAGCTGGAAAGGACTTGAAAAGTGAGCATGCAACTTTCCTGTGAGCCCCTGGCATGGCCAGGCTCCTCGGCCTGGCCCCTGGAAAACTCACCTGCCATCACTGCTCCCTCAGATCCAGTGTCTCACTTGCCTGGCAAAGGAGAAAAGCAGAGCCACAATTAAATCACACCCCCAAAGCCTACAGGGCACACCTTTGGCCCTGGGATGTGACCCCTACCCCTGCTGGCCTGGCCAAAGGTCAAAGCAACACCTCATGGGGCACATCACCCCCTGGGCCACTCACAGATCTATTACTTCCCGTTCTTCCCCAAAGTCTCTTTCCTGAGTTCCTTGCTTGAGGTCTAGCAGAGCCCAGAGCTAACCTTCTGGCTCTTTCCCCGCACGAACAGATTCTAAGAATCTACAGTTCCTAAGGGTTGACTTCATTCTTTAAAAAGGAGGAGGAGGAGGAGGAGGAGGAGAGAAAAAGAACCTCCTGCAAGTTTCCTTTTTCCTCACCTCTTTCAAAAACTCTTTGCACTGTTTTTTTTAAATATTTTATTTATTTCTGAGAGAGAGAGAGAGAGAGAGAGAGAGAGAGAGACAGCATAAGCAGGGGAGGGTCAAAGAGAGAGGGAGACACAGAATCTGAAACAGGCTCCAGGCTCTGAGCTAGTTGTCAGCACAGAGCCCGATGCGGGGCTCGAACCCACGAACCCTGAGATCATGACCTGAGCTGAAGTCGGACGCTTAACTGACTGAGCCACCCAGGAGCCCCAATCTTTGCACTTTTGAATTAGAAAGGACCTCAGAGAGACAGGGACTTAGGTGAGGTCAAGGAAATCAACAGTGACAGAGACAGGACACATTTTTTTGGAACTAATTTTGCTCACAATGGCAAGTCTCAAATATCTCTAGCGACAAGCATACTCCTGGAAAAAAGGGAGCACGTGTTGAAGAAGCAGGTACTGGCAAAGCTTAACATGGCAACAACAACCACCTCAAAAGTCATGGCCCAAACCCAGGTGACTCACTGTGTTTGCATGCACCAGACACAGTGCCCAGGATCTTCTGAAACTAGCTCTCTCTCCTCTCTTTGCATTAAGGAGCACTGCAGTGGAGTACCAGGATAGTGATTGGCATGATCAAAACTGAGATGCTAAGTCAATGCAAGTGTTGCCTCTAATGTGAGCTATTGCCCTCATTCCTGCTCAGGAATGATCCAGCCACTATGTAAACCATGGTCACAGCACACTGCTCTCCCCCAGTACAGACTCCCACTCACATACGTATTCCAGAGCAGTGCCGAAGCTGTCCACATCTGGGAGCAATCACCCTGCTGCTCTGCTCCCCAAGAAGAAGCTCTGGTTTTATGACTAACTGGATGTAAGACACATGAATGGTGTAACATGCTATGGCACCCTTTTTGCCTAGGCTGCCAGGAAGTTCAGCGTTAACATTATTCATCAAGCACAAACATTCTAGAAGCCCAGCTGTTGAGCACATATGCTTCCTCCTTGCAACAGGGCATACCTTTTTTGTATTCATGTGTTCAGAGTCTTATGTATTTTTAAAATATACCTTCTAATCCTTTTGTCAAACAAGTAGGGTATAACTCATAAACAAAATTAAAGCTAAAGGAAAAACAGCAAACATAACATCCATCTATGGAAACACCATGTCAAGGGGGATTTTATCTTTTGAATCCCACAACAATCCCACCCAAAACTGTCAATGAGTGAATCTGTCAACAGATGGGTCTACCATTGTAAGAAAATTTGGCCCTCAGTGTTTTCAGAGTGAAAATGGAATATTAACTTCAAATTCTGCTTCATTACGGATCTCTGGGGTTCCCCTAGGGCCAATGCCAGTCATGTGGTGAGACTGTGGGTGTGGTGTGCCTAACAACAAGGGTTTTGATTGAATTAAAAATGGAGCATCTGTATCAGGGTTTGAAAAGAATGAGTAAAGGCTGTACTAAAAGTGAAGATAGTAAAACATACGTTTCATTTTTTATCAAAGAGAACTGCAGTGTTGTTTTTGTTCATTTGGATGTGCAAAAATTACATAACAGCTTACATATAGCCACCTCTTGTCCCAAACACATCCGACTTTAGTGCATGCACACCCACACATATTATAGCCACGGATGAGTGTTCTCCTGGCACCTGCTGAAGTCATTAGTTCATTTTTAAGCCTCAAACAAGCCAGGGACTCCCCTCCAAACAGCTCACAGGGCATGGACCACTCCATTAACAATTCTGTAGTCACCATCATTGCTGCTGCTGCTGCTGCTGCTGCTGCCATGAAGCCGCCTCCCCCTCCTTCCCCAAAATTTAGCGCCTGCTTCTTCCCCTATAAATACACCATCAATAGGGCGTTGCTATGGTAACAGCGAGGAAGCGTGAGGGCTCCACGACAGAGAATGCTGCTGCAGTCACGCATGTACATGTCTCTCCTACCCCTGGTGGATACTGTAAGGCTGCTTGTAGGCCGGAGGAATTTTTAACCCACTCCCCTCAGGAACACAATTGAATCCTGAAGACCTGGAAAGGAAGGAAGGCAGGGACTGGCCACCACAAAGACCTTCCTTAACCCCAGCCTAGGCTGAAGCTTCCAAATCAACAACACTCTGAAACATCACTCCCAAAGTCCCTCGCACGGGGACAGGAGGCCATCAGAGCACCTGGTGTCCCAAGAGATGGCCTCCATACCACTTCTCCAAATCCTCGCCCTTTTCATTCCCCTCACTCAGAACTGGTCGCCAGAAAAGGCTTCTGTAATAGCCAAATCTCATGAGTCATCAACCCCCTCAGTGACATGGAACTCCCAAATTATGCTCAAACTCCAACTGTGGGCCCTCCTTGTCCCCTTCCACTCATGCCAGCTTCTAATGTGCCCATCCTTGCCCACCGTCGCCCACCAGCAGCACCCTGCCCACAAATTCCAGCTTCTGGCTCAACCAGACCTCTTCTTCTGGGTCTGCTCAAGACCCCCAACGCCTTGGCCCGGCTGGGCCTCCAGATCCTCCCCCCGACAGTGCCCCGCGCCCAGTTCAGTGGACCCGAACACCACACCATGCCCTCGGGGCTGAGACGCCCAACCCAAACGGGCTCACCGTTCTCTGGGCCCAGGAGGCGGACGCCCTGTTTGCGCCAGCAGCCCGCCACCTCGCTGCGGCGCCTCTTCCAGCAGGGCCCCTGTCCCCGCCCACCTGCTCCCGGTCGGCCAAGCCCCCAGCCCAGCCATCTCCTCCCTTCCTCCCTTCCCGCCGGCCAGCCTCCCGCCGCCCTGGGGGCTCAGTAGCCGCCCGGGCAAAGGCCAGGGCCGAGGTGCACCTGGAGCTCCCGCCCCTTGCAGCCGGGCGCCCAGGCCCTGCCGGTTACCTCGGCACCCCCCTGCCCCTGCTCTCCTCTTGGGACTCCGCCGCTGCCCGCCCCCCACGCCCCGCTGCGCCTGGTCTGGCCTCGCACCCTGCGCCACCCTCGAGCGCCAAGACCACCGTGCCCTGATCGCCAGGCCGCGATCGTCGCGCCGCACCGCGAGCCGGGCCGCCGGGCCGAGGACAGGAGAGGGGTGGGGGTGAGGAGAGCGGGCCGAGGGGGAGGGAGGACGGACCAGCAAGCTGGGCCGGAGGGGCGGCGGCGCGCACCAAGCACTGCGCGCCCGCGCCCCACTCCGCCGGCGCCGCCCCTGCCCCCGCCCGTGCCGCCGGGGGGCGGGGCCTGGTCGGCGGGCCCGGGACTTACCAAGGACCTCTCGCCAAAGGTTCTGGCGCCGTCGTGCCTCCCGGCGCTGGCCCTCGGAAGCCCAGGCGCTATGGCGGGCTGGGGCGGCCGCTCCTAAGGCCCACGCGCCAGGGGGCCTGGCGCAGCGAACCCTCCCCAACTGTCCCCTACCCAGGCTCACCTGTCATTGTGGCCAGCCCGCCCCCAGTGCCAGCCGAGAAAAGAAGGGGCTCGGGCCAGCAGCCAGTGCCCACCTAGCAGTGCTTCAGCGGGCCCGCAGAAGGGCTGGGTTCAGATTGCGTTCCGCCAATGACTGGGTGACCTTGGCTTCTTCACTTACCTCCTCCCCACCCTGTCCTCGGACGGCAGGCTTCTCTCCTGCCAAATCTGGTAAATGGGGAGAATCCTGCCTGCCTCTCGGGGCTATAGCGAAATAAAGGAGGAAATGGGCTTGGGAAACTCTTAAGGCACAGAAAGGGGAGAGGAAGGGGAGCGCGGGAAAGAGATGGGGGGGGGGGAGAGGGGGCTCAGGAGGCCGCTCTGTGAGAGGTTAAGCATGACCAGACGCTGGTAGATGACACTAGTCCAAGTAGAACCACGCGAGGAGGTGGAATGCTAACGGAGGGCAGGACGGTTCTGGGAGAGCTCAGGGTAGGGGTCTGCCAAAGCTTCCGAGGAGGGATCCAATGCACCATGCTAGGTTTTCTGGGTTCTTTTTGTTCTCTGCAGCTCTGGAGCCCACCTTGCAACTGGAGTGGGCGCCCCCTTACACACCCCTTTCCCTATTTTGGTGTTTTGGGCAGAATGATACCTGACAGGTATGCCCATAACTACCCCCCACACCCATTCCAGGCAGAGAAACACCAACCTGCCCTGCCTCCAGGTACATAGAAAATAGGAGGAAAGGCCTCCATCATCCCAGACATCTTCCAGTCCAGCTCTCAGAGCTGAACAGTCCCTCTGTCCCTCCCTGTCCCTGCCCTTCCCTCTCCTTCCCCTTCCCCCACTCCCAATGGCGCTTTCCCCTCCATCTCTGCCGCCTGTTTTCAGAGTCTTCCCCTGGCTTGCTTGCTCTTGGAGGGCTGCAGGAGCCCTTTTTTGCCCAATACAGTCCCTCTATGCTCTCCTGGGTGAAGGCAGGAGGGCCACACCCCCTGACCTGTGGGGCAGGCTTTCACAAGAAAAAAATCAAGATCACTTGGGGATAAGAATGGGGCTCCTTTGAGGCCCAAAGGGTTGTGTGTGTTGTAGACCTCCCCTCAGTTCAGGGGGAGAGAGCTTGGGCCCTGGTTGGTGAGAGAAGTGGTTTGGATCTCTTCAGAAACTGCCCTCCTTGTCACCTAGTCCACCACCAGGTCCCCATTCCAATCTTAACCATGTGTACAGGCAACTGCACACAACTTTCAATATGTGAGGCTAGGGTCTGTGG